GGTGGGGGGTGGGGAGAAACAAAGCCTCAAGTGCTTCCATAGCCAGGGGTCTAAACAGCTCTCTCCACATCTTCAGACTATAATCTGTTTGCCACAGTTCTGCATCTCATGCTATTACTGCAGAGATGCACCATGGTGTCATGTGTGGTGATGCTGTTCTTCACATGTGGAAGAATCAAGTAACTTATTGCTAAAATACTGACAAACTACTTTAGGAAATTTCTGCAATTGGCTCTCAGAGTGCATTGCTAGGAAAGTGAAGATAGGCATCATGTTGACTGACACTGTCCACATAATGATGAGCGATGCCTTGACTTGGTAGCAGACACCACCTTCTATTGGCTTTCTAACTCTTGGATGTACAAAGATACCAAAAGCCAAAAAAGCATGTAAAGTAATTGATTTTTTTTTTTTCAGCTACAGTTCCACTTCTAAAACACCATTGCAGATTAAAATCACATTTATTCAACTTCATTTATAACCAGATTTTCCACATAGACTTTACCATTCTAAGCTGCAGGAGCAAGACCTCAGGAAAAACAGTGTCCTGAGGGTAAAGAAGAAGAAACTAGAAGTGGGTAGTCAGGCTTTGTTATCAGGAATGGGTTGTGTAAGTCCATAGTAACCACTCCTGCTTCATCATGCAATGCTCATTTCCAAGTACTGTATAATCTTGGTTCAGAATGAGTCTGAACGCTCCTGGGATGACACAGATGACAAATTGAGTGATCGCTATACCATTTCTATTTACCACCCCCCAGCTCACTAAATGAGGATAGACTTCAAAAGCCTCCATACCAAGCGATGTTTTTCCAAGCTTTAGTCACCCTCTACCTCATCCCCAAAGTGCAAAAAGCAGGTGCAAGTTTTCTACAAATGCAGCAAAGCCTGCTTGGCAGATAACATCCCTGGAGCTTGAGAGTCAGAGATTTTTCCAAACATAGGTACTGAGACAACAAGAGACAGAAGCAGAAAAGTGCTACTTCACAGGAGGTGGCATACACTCCTTGGGGCTTTCCTGCCACCTCCCTGCTGCTATCAGAGCTAAATAAGCCAAGTGGGGAATACACACCAGAGCTGCCTTTTCCAGGATACGCTCACTGCCCAGGCACATCATGGCCAGGCAGCACTTGGAGGGACACCCGAAATCCCCTGGCTCCAGCAGGGATTCTTCCAGCCGCCACTTAAAAAGAGCCTTAGGCAGCAGTGAGCTCTCTCCCCCCTGCAGCAGCCTTAGTGACAGGATGCTGTGTTTCAGAGGATGCACACCACAAGATGGCAGGATACACAGCCCAGTTTCTATTGGGGTGGGGAAGGGGAGGAGAGGAATGGAGTAGTATTTTTTAAACACTCAGTACATTGTGTTTAAGAGGCAATATCCTCATCCTTCCTTATTAGCAGGCTACATCCTCTGTGCTTAAAGCAGAGTCCGAGCCTGCAGCACACGTGGAACTGGGAGCTGGGGCTGTCGCAATGGCACGGCTGGACAAGAAAGTGAACTGCACTGTCCCTTCCCCCACCCCAAGACAAAAGAGGAGGAAAAAAGTATCATGGAAAGGTACAGAACTCAGCTTGCCCTGAAGCCCTGTATAACATTCCTGTTGCGTTCAATGCAGAAACCAATTAGCATAGTAACGACACTTGGCTACAAAAATAGCGCTTTATGGCTTTCAGTGTTACACCCATGTCAATAACTCAATAAAACATCCTGCAGGTTCTGCTGCTGTTATGAAATCTGTTGTATTTCAGAACAAGAATGATATTATAGCAGCCCCTACAGCATTTTCTCCTGCAAATCCTGAAGGGAAGTGTAGTGTCCCCTTTCCCAGCCATTTTGGACTGACACAGCAGTGACTTGCCCAGGGACAGAGCACTGTAACAAGAATAAAACCACGTTTTCTAGCTTCCTAGAAAACCCAGGGCTCTATCAAGCTGCCAATATACTTACTTGGCTTGCAAATCTTCCCACAAGAACCAGGAATTAGAATTGTATAACACCCTGTTTTATGTAGTTCACAGTCTGCCGGGGTCCCAGATCACAGAAAATTCTAGTTAGATGCTCACCAAGTGCAGGAGGGAACATGCCCACACGTGTGGGCAATGAAAGCCCAATGAACATGTGTTCATTGCCAGAAGAGCAGTTGTGCTTGCAGCACAGGGGAGAGCCCTTCGCAGCAGGGGAATCCAGGGGTTGCTGACCTCCCAAACACAGCAAAGCAGCAACTCACTACAGTATCAATCTCTGTGAAAGCCCACATTAAAAGGTTATTTTTGACTCGTTGTGGTCTAATGACTGCTGTGCTACTGGACGAGGAACAGACTCAACATTAAGAGCCAACCTCCACCACGCCTTACCCCTAGCTTGTCCACATCTGTAGAAAGAGTTGTCACATGATGCCCTGCAAAGGACCCTGTGCTATTAACTGGTATCTCCTTGAAGTTGTACACATGCACCATTATAGCTTGGTTCAAAACCCTTGTTTATTGAGCTGCCTACTGTCATATATTCAAGGAGCTGGATTTTGTTCCCCTTGATTTCAGCACATGTCCTGAAAGCCCGTTACAAAGATCCCTGATGACCTTTTCATTCTTCCTCTATTTTGATTTCTGTAGTACACGCTACAAGAGCGTCTTGAAATTCAGTTCCCTTTTTTGGTTAAAAAAAGGATAAGCCCCAGAAAAACTGGTGCAGAATGCAATTAAGATGAATAAAAATCCTGTGCAGGCTGAAATCTTACACAGAAATTTTACCACAGAGTTGCTCTGAAATTAGAATTGCAAACTGTTATTACACAGAAAGCAAACAGTTTACCTAGAGCGAGTAATTATGTGACATCAGGCTAAACAGCAGGTCTATCTGGATGTGACCCAAGATCCATGGGCTTCTTCGCTAATTATTTCACATCTGGTGAGACCACTGGGCTTCAGTCAGAGAAAAACACATTATTAAAATAACAACTACTCCCCCATTAGCTGCATCTGAAAAGCCAATATGGCTAACAGCTCTGGGCAGCATCAGTGACAGTTTAGTCTTTCCTGCAAATGTCAGAGACCATTGCAGAGACCAACACAGCCACCTTCAGTGCTTAAGACAGCATTTACCCCAGCCATGCTGGTACATTAAGAAGCGCCACACGCAATGCAGCAGTTCCAGTCTCTGTTCTGTCTTTAAAAAGTGCTGGTGGAAAAGCAATATCTAAAAAAGATGATTCTGTGCTGAGATATAACATCATTTGGTGATGGTAATGTTCCCTGTGTTGTTAGAGCAGGGCATAATCACAGCATAGCACTGCAGACAGTGGGGCTGTAAGACACCATGTGACACCAGAGCCAACTTCTGCAGCTACAAGCCATCAGCCTCACAATTGTCACTTAAATACCACTGTTATTAAAAGCTTCTGAACTGTTTTACAGAGCAACTGGAGACAGATCGTTACCATCCCCAGTGCCAAGCAGCCTCAAGGTCATTTGTAATGTGGGAAAGCAGCAGTTGCACAGCTCCCCCGCCACACTCTGAGCAGCCGCTGGCTGCAGCCGGAATCAGATAGTGCAGCAGAGCCTGGACAGGCAGAACAGGGAACCTGCGGCAAGGGCTAGTTACTCCATTTGCCCCTACCCAAGGCAGGCTGGCCACAGACACTGCTCAAGTGATCATTTTAATTTTGAGCAGAGACTTATTTTGTCTAGTAAAGATAGGTCATGCATCAGCAACTACAAGACCCACCTTTAACCTCCCATGCCACATGCAATTGAAATACCCATTAGTAAATGCTACCATCTCCCTTAGACCACACAGTGTAGTTCAGTGTTGGCTAATACAATTCAGTAAGCACACCCACAATTGGTAGGGTCCCCTTTCTCCTTGTGCACCCCAGTTTCACAGGTAAAGCTAACATTTTACCTTTGTCCCTTCACTTACCCATGGGAACACAGTGGCTATGAAGAAAGAAAAACTGAACCCAGCTTCTTCATACAGCTCATTCCCAAATGAAGCCTCTTAGCCTCACTCCATTGCTTCAAGTTAAGGGTAGGGAAGAGCAGCAATCCAGGTTCAAGCTCCTCTTGGACAGGAAGCATATTTCATGTGATGCAACCTTTAATTCTAGCAGGATTGCCTTCAAGCCCCAGTACTGTTAACACAGAAGGCTGAGAACATACCCACCCCCTACAAATATGTGTTACAGCAACAACATGCTTATTTCATCCTCCTTCTTGAGGTGAGTAACCAACCCGCCTCCCCAGAACAGCTTGCATCAAGTCAAACATGGGCCTCCTATTTAGTTACCTGGAGGTGCCACTCGATCCTGGTATTTGGGCTCAAATTCACTGACAGTGAGCAACATCACTTGGATGGTCCCAATGAATATACCTGCCAGGCAACCGTAGAAGATGACATAGAAGAGGAGGATCTTAACTGCAAGAGGAAACAAACAGAAAGAGGAATCAAATCAAGCCCAAGGCAGTCACATTTCAGGACAAAGTTTCCAACCTTTGCCACTTGCAAGGAAGAGCCCAGCACACTGCATTGAGATGGCAAGCCCTGCTGCAGAGACATATATTTAACAGTGAGATTATGCCCTGACGCAGACAGAAAACGTAAGTCATTCCAGTCATTTGGGGGGCTGGAAGCATGAGCCCCTGAAAACCTAGAAATCCATGAATCGGCATTTAGGATTGTAAAACATGAAGATTAAACCATGTTATTCCATATTTTAAAGGATCCTTTGGCTGACCCAAAGCTACCATCACACACTATCACAGGTGACAGACTTTCAGTGAAGTAAGTGCCCAACGGCAAGAAGCCATGCTATGGGTGTGCTCTGAATGACACCCATTCCACAAAGCTCTGGGCCTCGAAGCTATTTCCAGGACAGTCTACAGTAAGTGGTACATTCAGGTTTACAAGCAACTGTAAAGCCTGATCTCCCCTAGTAATTCAGGCTATCGCCTCCATTAAAGACAACGGGAGCAGAATTCAGGCCCAATACTCAATCTCAAACATAGGAAAGTACTCGGACATGTCACAGTACTACAGGTTTACCAGTCTTGTATGTCTACAAAGGCGCTCCTTTGGGTATGAGCACTGCTCATACCAATTAAAAAGCAAATTACATAATAACGAAAGACTGAATTTAGTTTTGGTCTAAAGGGAGATGCCTAGAATAATCCGGGGGGGAGGGGGGGTGGCATGGGTGGAGATGAGCCTGGAGACACAGCATGGCTCAGACTCTGGGTATCAGTTACCACTTTACAAGGATTACCTCAACTGATTAACTGCACAGTAACATGCTGTACTAGGCATCACCACGCTGCCTACGGGAAGGATAAGCCAGCCCATGCCAAGCAACTATATGCTAATCAGGCTGCAGGAACAAGCAGGCCAGCGCAGAGGCCAAAGAGTACTTGAAAGAGAGCCTGCTTGATCTCGGACTGTCTTCATCTAATTGCAGATGAAAAGGAAGTGGTTTATTTGAAGGACTTGAAGTGACCAGCTACAAGAGAAGGGGAGGAAGCAGTAAGTGGAAGTATTCCTCCTCTCTCCTCAGCCCCATCGTAAAAGAGCTCCATCAGTGGAGAAGCCTCCTGATGAAAGCAGGCAGTTCTGGTTGTTTTCTTTTCAAGCCTATGAAAAACAGGCGAGCAGGAAGGACAGCCAGCGACACGGAGGCTGAGGGACACTGTCAGAAAGGCATTCCATCCTCTTGTCTTCCTCACGTGCACCGGAGGCAGGAGAAGTAGCCAGGGCTGGCGGGCAGAGCTGGGTGCGGTAGTGTGGTGCTCCAGGAGTTAAAAGCACTCTTTGGTATCCAGGCAGCGTAAAGCAAATGGCTGTGACGTCAGGGACGTGTGGAAATTTTTTCCAGAGCACGGTCATAGGAGGTGCTGTTGTAACAAACCAAACACTAATGCTGTTGTCTGCAGCGTAACGCCTTTGAGTTTTGTAATATCAAAAGGCAAACGCTGGGAGGTAGCTTATTTAATTAGGTTCCCAGCCAGGATGCTCTTAACGCCAAAGACACCTTAAAGGTCAAAACCACTCCTAGGTCTCAGAAAATACACAGCAGGTCTAGCGACCGAGCACGACAGGGTTGAACAAGAAAGCTTCCCGCAACAGGTAGGTTTATAACAGAGGAATCGGATCATCAGCCTGCAGATCGACTCCACAAATGGAAATCAGTCCTAGGCAGACAGGTACAGGCACTCTGGGAGAAGGACCTGGTTCAGCCTCCACATTTGAAGCACTGCGCAGTTGCCTGGTGCCTCAGGAGCAGAAAATACCTATCCATGCGCACCCACAACCCAATTCTGCTCACGTAAAGATACAGCAGAAGCCTGCTCTAGTCCGCCTGCCTGCCAGAGCTAAAGCTGGCAGCTCAGGATGTGGCACCTCCAGCTGATCCGTTACAACAGGAGCCGAATTCAACATCGCAAGGGTGGCACACCAGCTGTGGCTGGCAGCAACTGGAAGACTGTATTTGCATAACGGGAACGTTAAAAGCCTCTTAATCTGTTATTTGTGCAGCACCTAATAAATACATCACGAGCATTAAATCACAAATGCACATATAGCCATTTCCTTCTTGCAGAGGCATTAAAAGCCACTTGTTCTCTCTCGACGAGGTAAAATTAGCTCAGTTTCCTTTATCCAGAGAAAAGGGGAAAAAAAAGAAAAGCCACCCTGAAGTCCAAGGCAGGTGACGGCCGGGAGGGCAGGCTCCCCCGACGGCGATGCTCCCGGGCCGGGCCAGCCGCCAGGGAAGGAGACCCAAGGACGAGGCGCCCTCACCAAGGTCGGCCCGCCCCGGGCTCCATCCCGGGGCCGGGTGCCGACCCCGCCTCACCCCCGGCCGCACCTGAAGTCAAACC